AGCTTGTAAAATATTCATTAATGTAAATGAGAGGCAAAACAGATTGCTTACAGTCAAGCGTGACTTTCTTTTCTCATTCTTTGCTGAATTACACTTTCAAACAAACAATGCATGCTGTACACTAGGAACCTACAGCAGATGGTGTCTCTCTCTCTCTCTCTCTCTCTCTCTCTCTCTCTTCTAGATGCATGCTTTACTTTGCTCTTGTTTTACTCTTTGATCAAAATCAGTTCTGATCTGCTGATCAATCATGGGCTCTTCATCTACTACATTCTCTGAATTTCAAATTACAGTTATTTATTTGTCTTAATTAAAACAATAACACATATAAAACGTTTCTTTCTGACACTTCCATAGCTTTCAATAGGCTACATCTACAGTAAACCACCACGTATACAGGCAGCTGATATTTCTGTGGAGTGTAAAGGGAGTAAGGACGTACCTGTCTCAGCGGGTCGTGGGAGAGATAAGTAGTGCTCAGCTGTGCTGTTGCTTTGAAAGTGATGAATCTGCTGTGCTGGAGCTGATAAGCCTGCAGGAGGAGGAGGAGCTTGAAGCTCTTAGTGATGCTATTCTCCAGTCCTGTTCCTGGACTTTCCCTGAACCAGTGTTTTTGGTGCTTTCCCTGATCTCAGATGGTTTTGGTTTTCCTTTAGCACAGCTCCTCTGCAACATGATTCAGCAAACTAGATGAGAAGACCCTCTGAAACAGAGAGTTCTAATTAGGGATGCATCAATACCGATACTGGTATCGGGCTGATACTGTGCTCGTTTACTCGTACTCATAAAAATTCATTGATACCAACATACTGATACCTTGTGACATAAGCCGAGTGTGGCTGCCACGCTAATAAACAAATGCAGTGAAGGAGGATCTGCTCACACAGAGGAGAGTTACCGTCGCTCTCTTTAAACATTCCGCCTTGGCAGATTCCCACCAGGATACACTGTGAGATTTTAGCCCATTTTTAAAAAAAACACAATCACAATGGCTTCCCCAGTATGGGCGGGAACATGTACACTAAGAAACAGGAGTGGGAAAGTCAACATTTCCTACCAAAGTCTGTATATGTGGACCTATGCCTACTTTACTCAGGGTATAAATGTTGATTTTCTTCAACTTATTTTAAAACTGCTTTTAGCTTCAGTGCTCAGTGTTCGCAGCGCTGGTCAGCGTGTTATTCTCAATGAATCAGCTTTATTGATAACGGTCCGTAGACAGAGTGTCTGTAGAGGCTGCTTTCACATAGCAGGTCAGTCAGATGGAGCGTTTTCGTAAAGTGTGAGTATATAAATCATAGCTTTGTCTGAACACGATGGTCTATTCAAACATATAGTGTGAGTCACCAAAGAGCAAGATTTCTAAATCACACAGTGTCAGTCTGGCTTTAGAGGACATTCAGCTACAGCTCAACCAGCCAATCCAAAGTCTCCAACAAGACGAAAAACTGGAAGCGTGATTCCTGCTGTCACTGGGCTGCTGCTAAAAGAGACAGATGAGGATCAAAACTATGAAACCTGCTTTACTCACAGCTATGCAGAAGAGCTTTTCTGACGGAGAACCAAACCCGCTTTTCTCCACTGCAGGGAACTAATGTAGCATAACTAGCTAATGCATGTCATTTAAAATCAGATACATTTTAATGACTTGATAGTAATTTGTTATGGTATCAGACTTGGTATAAATGACTACTAAAACACATGTACACATGTTTTATATGGAATGTTGATGATGGAAAATAGTGGAAAATCTGAAATAATAAGTTTTCTTTGGGGACTATTTTGCCTTACAGCGCCCTGCATGTATCCCTCCACCATGAATGGAGTTTAAGGCCAAAATCTTCTCAATACTATCATAAAACAGTGTCTCAGTCATCAGGCAATGAAACCATAACCATTTCATGTAGTAACTTTCTGTGAGGGAGCTTTTAGAGGTGGACGTCTGGTTCCTATCACCACCACTTGCATCTATAATGTTTATCTGTATCCCAACCACTATGCTTGTTTTCTGTTATTATACTACTACCCCTAAAGTGCAATAATATATCTCAAGATTGTGACAGTTTCTTTTTTCTTTTACCCCCTTTAAATAGAATAGTTAATGTTTTCTACCATGCCTTCAAATGCAATAATTGCTATGTGCAATATCCCTCCAACTTTGCTCCCAGTTTATTCTTTTTGTTCTATGTTTACGTTTACAATGCATTCTATTTATTTTATATTTAGCATTTTATAGTTTTTCCTTTAATTAAGCATCTATAGGCTTGCTCCTGTATTGCTGGGTTTACGAATCAGACACAAACAGATAAAGATGAGCCCGGAAGATTTATTGAAATGGAGATGAGCGGGTTAACACCGGACCAGGTCAATAACCAGAATAGCCAAACACTGACGAGACAATGGCAATACTTCACAAAGACAAGAACCAAACAGACTAGTATATGTACAGAGTGGTGGTGATTAGAATTCAAGTGACTGTGATCTGTTGGGCGGTTTGTGATTGGTTGAAGAAGTCCCTTGACTGACAGAGGCATTCTGGGAAATGGAGTCCTTGATGATGTAAGTGTTGGACTGAGAAGCAGGAAGCGTGACAGCTCCAAATGACATCTGATTGTATTTGTACCTTGACAATAAAAATATCTCATCTTAAATATCTCTGATCACTGTGAACACTTCTGATTGTAGAATGGAGCATTTCATACCAAACCACTTTGAATTATTCTGTTTATACCATATAATTATAATTTGTATATCTTATAATCTTAACCATATAACCATGCAGATATTTTCCTTTACTACAGCTTTTAACAGACCAGTAATAAGCTCACACCTACCTTTTGTCACGGTCGGGACAAAACCTTGTATCAATTTTCATCTTTTTAGCTAATGTAAAATATCCAGCTGCTCTTTACATTGAGTCAAAATTTCACCATGAATGCACCAATAGAAAAGTGCAAAATTATATGTCGGAGAAATGATTTCTATATAAACTTCCTTTGAAAACCGAGGACGTTTTTCCTTCTGTAAAGTTTTCCTTATGGAGATACGAGGTTTTATTTCAAAAGCTATGCCTTGTTTTTCGAAGACATTCACATTTTACCTAAAAGTAATCCAGTGAATCTACTTATCTGAATTAATCTTTTTTAAATAACCAACACAATGCCATTTTTGTTGTTTCTTTAGAAGGTAGATTTAAATTATAAATAATATTAATAATTTAAAAAAAAACAACAGAAACAAAAGCAGACAGTGCTCCTGAATGAGCTGAGCTGATTGATCTGACTCACTGAAAAGAGCTAGAGTGTCCGTCACTGACTTGCATGCACTGTTGCTCTGTAACATTTACACTTCATTCACTAAGAGTTTATTTCACTGATTCTGAACTGTTTCTACTCAAACAGACTCAGTTGATCACTGTAATCAGCAGAACTGACTGTGAGCTGTTTACAGGGCTTTTAAATGATGTTCACTGTGATTGGCTGCTTTCTAAATAAAGTGCTGAAATTACTGTTGGGTTTGTGCAGCTGGTACAGATGTGTTTGGGTTTTAGAGAGGACACTCAGGACGTAAAGTTATGAGTAGTCAGTAATCAGTAAAGTAGTCATATTACAGTGTGAAAGAGAGCAGGTTAAGGTATATTTTGAAGAAAAGTTATCTGTTTTACATTAAACTGCTGAATGTGTATAAAACAACAACTGCCAATTTCTAATATCCCTTATGTTTTTCACCACTCTGCTTTACCTGTTTTATGCATCCATAATGTTTATTTTTCTTTCCTTTCATTCTTTCATTTCCCATCCCTCCATTCTTCCACAATCTGCTATTACTATTCCATGAACTCATTGATTAGAATTTTTCACCTATTTCACCTATTTATTGACCCTTTAATTTTAAATTTTTACTGTTTCCCCCTTACCCTCAAGGAACCAGGTGGAAAAACAATTCCTGGGCAGCTAACTGCCGCCACCTGCTGGTCTAAGCTGCTGTAACATACTAAGTGTTAGCCAATATTTTTATTTCATACAGTACTGGGAAAAAATGTAAGGGAGATTTTTTTTTAATGGATGAAATTACACAGTGATGTTAGAATTGTGTCTATTTTATTATGTCGTATAGGCAGAAATAAATAAGGTGGCACTTTCTATTGTTTTTCATTTTACTCTTCATAGCTTCTGTGTATCTCCTGCTGATTTCTTAAATACTGTGCCATCAGTGTGCTAGTTAACAGTGAACTCTCTCCTACTCGCTGTAGTATGTTATGATACAATTCAACAACTTTAAACTATCGTTAAGTTCTCATTTGATCACTGCAATAGTGAACTACAGCCTGTAGCCTAAACTGAGCAGCTGCTGCAGCCGAGCTCTAACATGCTGATTTAGCCAGCAGTGTTACAGGTTACATTTTACAAGCTCATTCTGTAACTGCCCTCATGAACACTCACATTTATATCCTAGTGCCATATGTTAGCCTACAGTGTGTTGCTGCACACCTGATCATCTCAGGAAGTCAGAGTCACTCTGTGTAGTGCAGCTGTCTCACTATCAGAACGTCACTGTTTCCACACTGAATCTCATGATTCCTTTAGAAACTATCAAGGTCTGGACCTCAGTGTCTTTACGCTGGTTATGACCATGTACAGATACTCAATAACTCATATTGAAGAAAACAGCAAGCAGTTTATTAATAACGTCTCTCAGTAAACAGCAAGCGATGTTTAAAGGAAAGAGAGTGTTTTTACCAGTAAAAACACTACATATTAGAATCAGTACTAATAAACAAACACAGGAGTCAGAATGTGTTGTTTTCAGAAAAGATCTGAAGATGAAGGTTAGACAAGCACATTTAGAAGAACACATGTTTGGTTCATCACTTAGATTTGTTCAATTCATCACCTGATTAAATTTAATGAAGGACTAATTAGATAAACTACATATTGGATGGTAACTGTTAATGCTGGACTTCCTCCAGGAGAGCTTAGATGGCCTAAGACTTTTGCACTTTATTGCATGTGCTGGACTCGGGTTTGTTTGCCTCTTGTGCTTCGGTAAACAACAGGACCCTCATCCGTCAATTCAACCTTAATAATCGATTGGCCTCCAGCAGACATTGTTCCCTTCACAGCAACTCCTTTTCCAAAATATGGTACGACACCCCCTGTACCTTTGCATCTGCTAAAAGGATTGTTGTAATCATAATCATAATACATCTTGTTGAATAGATTATCATCACATGAAATGTCTGGTTCATAAATGCCAAGAGCAAACCAGTTTTCATACAAGCTGTAGTTATAAGGCACAGAGAACATGATGGCCAGTTCACCGACAGGGTTTCTTTCATTATTGAGGATTTGGTACATCAGGACCCCGATAGAACCACGAGCTGAGTATGCAGTTTTAGAAAATGAGCATGTCTCCTGTGACTTTGTTATTATGGTAGGTTGTGGAGGATGGTGACAGTATCCACTGATGTTGTGGGTCCTGTTATACAGACAGAGAGATTATAATTCATAATGCAGAATACAGATCTGTAGCAGGTAGGAGGCAGACAGACATAAAGAGAAACTATTCAGGGGTCCACACACGTTTTCACATGCATGTCCATCAAATTCTGAGCAGTGTGATGACAGTTACTTTAAATGCTACAGCAAAATCAGTTCATCTTTGGTATGTGTGTATGACAGACCTTGAACCCATATCTCATTTATTTTTTGAACTACTTACAGGTAATAACTGTTTTATAATGTGTTGAATATGGGCCAGTTTCACTGGATACCAGTTATTAATTGTGGTATGCACCAATCCCCTGGGCTCGGATGAGAGCCGCAAGAGCCAGTAAGAAGGTGGGCCTGAACTCGGAGCCCAGATGAAACCCCACAAAGACAGCGAAGAAAGGATGAAATCAGAGAGATAGTCAGGGACGACGTGCAAGTCCTGAGCCCCGCCTCCTGGGCACTGCCTCTGGTGCCGTGGTGAGGCCACTTTAATTTGCTTCACATTCGATCCAGGTGGACAAGCAGGAGAGCAGTTTGCGGTGACAGGGAGGTGGAGCAGTGAGCTCTCCTTCCCTCTCAACTCAGGTGCAGACGTTTCTCCAGCCTTTAGCATCCTTCTTGAGTCCAGGGTGGCACAGGCCGTGCTACAGTGGATTTCATCCTCTCCCTGCTGTCTTCACAGGGTTTTGTCTGGGCTTGGAGTTCAGGCCCAGCCTTTCTACCGGCTCTCGTAGCCGTCATCGGGGCCCAGGGGACAGGCACATGCCACACTAATGTGATGATCTGGTAACTTTGGCTGTCAACAGCTTTAAAATGCTGCAGTACAATGACTTCATCTTTGGTTTGCGCATGAGATGACAGACTTTGAACTAAAATCTCTTCTCAACCACTTATTGGTAATTGCTGTTTTATAGTTTGTGAAATGTGATTCATGAGTCAGTCAGATTGGTGCAATTTACTAAACCAGGGGTGTCCGGTCTTATCCACAAAAGGGCCAGTGTGGCTGCAGGTTTTCATTCCAAACAAGCTGGAGCAACGTGATTCTACTTGTTTAATCAGTTGCTTTCCATCTTCGGCAACTGATCATGTGTGCTTCTGCTGTTTTGGAATGAAAACCTGCAACCGCAGCGGCCCTTTTCAATTGTACATCTCTGTATTAAACTGATGAACTGATTGGGTACATTTGGACACCAATCACATTTAAATCTTTAACATTCTTTAAATGAAAATGAATAGCAGAATGTTCAGAACACAGAACTGGAACAAGTGATGTCGCAATGCACATCTCTCACACAGACACTCATACTCAGCACAGTAGCCTAATGCACAGCAATATCAGCACAAATAATGGATTTAAGGTGAAACTGCATGTAAGGTGGCAGTTAATGTAGGTGGCCGTGGATTTAAGGTATCAGTAAATTTAAGGTGGTAGTGAATTTAAGGAAGCACTGGACATAAGGTAGCAAATAAATTTGAGGTAGCCTAAAATTTAAGGTAGCCTGAAATTTAAGGTGGTAGTGTATGTAAGGTATCAGTAAATTTAAGGTTGCAGAGAATTTAAGGAAGCAGTGGCTTTAAGGGAGCAGGGCTTTTAAGGTACCAGTGTATTTAAGCTAGCAACAAATTTAAGGTAGCAGTGGATTTATGGTGTCAATAAAACAAAAGCCAGTAAATTTAAGGTGGTAGTAAATGTAATTTGGCAGTGAATTTTAGGAAGCAATCAATTTAAGGTAACAGTGTGTTTAATAGCATAGCAACCACCTAGCAACACTTTAGCAACAGCCTGGAACACCATAGCAACCGTCTAGCAACATCTAAGTAACACTTCAGCAACCATTAACAGTCTACCATCATTTTAATGTTTTAACATAATAGGTTGGCTTAAGGGAGCAGTGGATTTAAGGAGGCATTGGGTTTAAGGAAGTAGTGGATTTAAAGTAGCGGTGCATTTCAAAAGGCATTGGATTTAAGTGAGCAGTGAATTCAAGGTAGCAAGAGATTTAAGGTGGCATTAGGTTTAAGGTAACAGAGGATTTAAGGTAGCAGTGGATTTAAGGAGGCATTGGATTTAAGGTCCCAGGAGATTTAAGGTACAGGTGTATTTAATAGCATAGCACCTGCTTAGCAACACCTTAGCAACAACCTGGGACACCATAGCATCCACCTAGCAACACCTTAGCAACCACCTGGGATACCATAGCAACAACCACGGTTGTGGTTTACCAACAGTCTTCCACCATTTTATTGTTTTAATTCAATTAGCTGGCTTTTTCGAGCTAAGTTAAAGTTCGTTCCCTTTCTATTTAGTAGTTGCCAGTGTTGACTTCCAGTGATCTCTTTATATGCTATAACGTGCACATACTGACTATCAGTGAGTGCACCAAATGTGCCGCACTCTTCTGACTATTCTCTGGTGTCTTTTTTGGTAGCTGCAGTACATGACTCAGCTTTTTGATCGGACGTATTATTAAATAGTTGTTCTTCTTAGGAATGAATGGCTGAATTATACGGACAGAACAACCTAGGAACCACCTGGGATACCATAGTAACCCCTTGCAAACACCTAAGTAATTATCTAGGATTCCATCAACCACCAAGCAACAGCCTGAAAACCACTTGGCAACCACCATGGACACTATAGAAATCACCTAGCAATATCTTAGCAACCAACTGGGAGACCATACTTTCAGTACACTAGCAACCTTTTGAGAATTGCTTAAGCTACACAATGACTTTGTATTTCTTCAGCAAATGCATTTTTCTAGTTTTAATGCAGTTTTTATTAAAGGGCCTCCAGATTTTCTCAGCATTCTCTCTAATAATGTGTTCACTGTTACTCTGCTGTGCTTTATTAAACTGGGTAAAGTTGTGATTGTAATTAATCCAGAAGGTCTCCAGTGACAATGAGTTCTGCAGGTTAATAACCCAGAAGCCCACTTCAGTCTGAGAGACCCTCACTGACAACATTCACCTGTACTTACCTTGGATTTGCTAAGGTGAATGCATCACAGTTATTGGTGATTTGAATGGTGACATTTCTGCCTGTGTTTATGGTCTGAGATATTTGCTCAACGGTGTTGCCGAAAAGGGAAGCAGCAGCTGATGCTACTTTCATTGCTAAAGCTGTTCCACGATCCATTGTCTGTTAAGAGTGAAACAAAAACATGTCCCATAAACTTTCATTATTATTTAATGATGTTTTATAAGCTTATCTTTATTATAAGAGCATTTAAGTTTGTGGCTGCTCATTGCTTACATAGCTTTTGTCTTAGCAAAAATGAGAAGCCAGCAAAGGTGGGACAAAAGGTTTTCATGTCCTCAACATCTTCTATTCTTCAACTCTTCCAAGCATCATGGTCTTTTCCAGTGAACTGGTTCTTCTCAGAATCTGTCCAAAATAAGAGCTTTAGTTTGGTTCTCTGGGCTTAGAGTGAGAGGTGAGGTTTGATTTGGTCAAGGAACCATTTGTTTGTTTTCTTTGCCGTCCAAGGGACTCTCAAACGTCTCCTCCAACACCAAAGTTAAAAGGCACCTGTATTTTTCTTGTCTCACTTTCTTACTGTCCACCATTCACTTCCATTAAGAACCAGAGAAAAGACCACAGCCTGGACAGTGGGTTTCAAGTTATGTACCACTTCTGCTGAACGTGCTTGGAAAAGTGGGACACTGTTTAATAAACTACTTATTATTTGTGGTTTAATATGATAATCTATTAATCTACACTTTTACGAGCTGTTGTGTCATGACCACTATGGCATGTTAAGCTTTAAGCTGTTTAAGCCTTTAAGCTTATTTAAATTAAACTCAGTGTAAATGTGAGATGACAATTCATTCTTCTGTGTTGTATTTGTAGGAGAAATACAGTATAACAAGAAGGGCCTCTTGTACTGAAACTGTTGTGCTAGTTGATGGTGAATTTAAAACAGAAATCTGACGCATTCCGTATGAAACTGGTGCACAAATGCAAACGCTCAGTTTGTGGACCATGTGCATTAAAAAAAACGTCCTGTATCTCATGCATTTGCATTTGAGAGAGAGAGTCACACAAAACACATAAATAGTGGGTGGATATATCGAAACTGAGGCTGATTACATATTCCACTGGCCAGGTTTTAAAACCAGGTGTAAATTTGCTTTAGTATCTGAAAGATGTGTTGTTAGAGACATCCTTTAACAGTGACAGCTGAAGGAATTACTTACCATCTGAATACCTCTCTTTGAACTCTCAGGAGCAGATGGACGTTTGTGAGAAGACGGTCTTATCATGCTCTTGCATTCCGTGTTTTCCTTCTCCGTTTTCTTAGCCTGACCAAAATATCAGTTCTGTAGAAAGTTTTGATGGGAAAGATTAATTAACACCACTGTTTCTTCATCTTTGAAATTTATTTTGTATTGCATTGTAAGCGCATAGTGCAATTGCATCAAGTGGTGCTGTGTCTGCACCCATACATACATCTGGCCCTCAGATCTTTTGATGAATTGTTATTAAACACAGAACGTGGAAAACATGAAAAAAGTTCAATTTTGCTTTCAAAGAGAAAGCACCATCTCCGATATGCCCACAGTTCAGAGGAGCTTCTTTTAAAAAATGAAACCAGTTCAGTTAATTATTTATTTAGCCAAAAAGTGATTAAATTGTTTGCTGTACTTGGCGTAAATTCATTTACAGTAACCTTAAAACACTGGCACACTTTACCTGAAAAAGCAGTTACAGTAACAAATGGTGGTTCACAAATGAACACAAAATATGAGAATACCATTGCATGCAAAACTTACACACACACACACACATATTTACATGCATATATGACTGTGTTATAGTTGCTTTCTGAAATTGACACTCAAACCTAAAACCATAATGGATCCACCCTCATGCTTAACAGTTAGCAAGGTGTTCTTTTCATCAGATGCAGCTCCTTTCTCCAAACATACCTTTGGTTATTATGTGCAAAGCATTCTATTTTTACTTCACCACTTTTTTCCAAAATGCCTCTGGCTTATCTAGAAGTTGTATTGCATACTTCAGATGTTGACTTTTGTAATGAGGTTGCAGGTAAGCTTTCCTTCTGATGACTCTTTCATGCAATTTTTGACGAGTCAGTTAAGACCTAACAAGTTTATTAAACTCTGAGACTTGTGGCAGGTGTACAAACTATTCTGCACATGCTAAACATTTCTTTCTAGATTTTAAATGTCAAATATAAAGTACACTTGCATTAACATTAGCAGGCACAATTTTCTTTGTTAGTATGTTACAGAGGTTGTGTTTACTACTTTTCACTTGAAAAAAAATCTACAAAATATGTTGTTTAGAAAAGGGTGCCCAAATTTTTGCCTACAACTCTTCACCTTAAATGTCAGTAGTATTTTCCTGGCAATTTAAAAAGTCATAAAGGGATTTAAGTACATACCTGTCCAAGGAGGTCCCTCAGAGTCTGTTTAAGTATGCAGAGCTAGAGTTCGTCTTAGGGTTGTAACTCTAGCTAATAGTGTCCTGTAGAGTCAGGCTGCTTGTGGTTATATAGCAGCCCATACAACCACAAGAGGAAGGAAATTCCAGATTGAGCTGATATAGATTAGTCTTTTTTTTAGCTCTTTTTTGTCAACAAAGCCTTGCAATGTGATCTGTCACAGCAGATGCTAGGCTCTGTAACAGTGAGAAAAATTTGTCAACTTAACCATACCGAATGTCCAAAAGTATCCAATGATTGAATTCAGCTAAGGTCACCTATTGTTGACACAGGCATTCTTGTATGTGTTCTTGTTTTCTATGTTTCTCTATACAAAAGCACTGACCAATAGAATAGGATGCTCCGGAGGACCTGAAGGTCACCATGCCCAGGGCCAAGCATGGGTAGAGGAGTATAAACACCCCAGAATTGTATGCTCCTTTTTATTTTGTGAGCTTCCATTACAGCAACTAAGTCTATATATTATTATCTTTCTAATCAAGGTGCGAAATACAGGGGGTCCTAGGGGTTCAAAAAGGATTAGACTTAAACTTTGTCTCTGTTCAAGACAATCAATGTAAGTAGGGAAATTCAAAAGAGCAAAACAAAAAAAAAATAAATATATTTACTTTTCACTTAAACTGCTCAACAAATGGTTGATTTGGAAATTTGAACACCTGTTATCTACCTGCTTTTTTGAGCTCACCTTGTCTTATGTCTGCAGGAGCATCAGTACAGGAAGAGGAGCTTCTCGCTCTCCCTTAGTGACTTCAGTGTGGGTTGTGCAGGTTAGCTGCTGGGCTGAGGCTGAACTCTGCTGGATTATGATCACAAAATAGTCTGTTACATTAACTATTAATAAAATGCTTACTAGCTGCATCGAATCAAATCTTGCTTCTTTTATTAGCTAGTGCTTGTTATGAATGACTGCTTACTAGCTAATCGTTAGTTAGCCAGCTAGCTCACGTTACTGCAGCTTATTTACAGTTTGACACTATAAGCTTGTGTTTTCTGAAAGAAACTTGTCAGCAGTTGCCAGTCTACCCTATAAATAAATAGCTGCTATAAATGCTGTGACTCCCATTCTTAAGAAACCTGGATTACATACTTAATTACTGTCCAATTACAGACCCATCTCCGATCTCCCTTATTTAACTAAAGTGATGGAAAGCGTTGTGGCCTCTCAGCTTCAGGAATTTCTCAGCAGAAACAATCTATATGAACCTTTCCGATCTGGCTTTGGCAACCTGCACAGTACTGAGACTGCCCTATTAAGAGTTGTTGATGATCTTTTAATGTCTGCAGATGCTGGTTTTCTTAATATCCTCATCCTCCTTGATCTCAGTGCAGCCTTTGACACTGTGAATCATTTCCAGACTTTCATCCATAGGCATTTCAGGCTTAGCTCTTGCTTGGTTCTGATCCTATCTTACTAACAGGTAACAGTTTATCTCTATAGGTTCACAAGTCATCCACTGCTCTGGGCACTCATGGAGTGCCCCAAGGTTCTGTCCTTGGACTCTTCCTTTTCATACCATACATCTCACCACTACATCAGATCATTCAAAATCATGGGCTTAAGTTACATGTTATGCTGATGATACCCAGATCTTCATAAGCACTGCACCCCCTAAAGTCTCAGCTCAGTCACTAAGTACATGCATTAAATTCAGATTTTGATTCAGATTTTAAACACTGGTTGGACAATAATCTCTCAAAATGGTATCCCTATTAAATCAGTTCAAGTCCGAAAAAAATTGGATTCATTTTTAACTCGACTTTCATTTGAGCCCCATATTAAGTCACTTACTAAGACTGCATTCTACAACTTGCATAACATTGCATGTTGCCACCCTCTGCGCAACAATATTGATGCCAAAATGCTGGTTAGCGCCTTCATTTTTTCCCATATTGATTATTCCAAATCCTTCTACTGGCTTCAGTTCATTCAAAACTCAGCAGCCAGAGTCCTCACTTTTACCAAGCGCACTGCACACATCACTCCCATCCTCCATCAGCTTTACTGGGTACCAATATCCTCCCATATTACATATAAACTTCTCCTTCTAACCTTCAAAGCTCTTCATGGTCTCGCTCCTATATACCTCAGTGAGCTCCTTTATCCCTAATGTCCCTCTTGCTCCCTCAGATCTTCTGGCGCCGGACTTGTTGCTGTCCCACACACAGGACTCTCGACAGTGGGTGGCAGGTCTTTCAGTGCTGCTGCTCCCAAATTTTGGAACTACTTTTGCTTTTTTTTTTTGGGGGGGGGGGCGGCAGGAAGCAGGCTGATAAGCAGAAAAAGGAAACATTAAGCAGATAAGCATAACTTATCATGGAAGTTATTATTTATTTCTAACAAAGAATCAAAAGTAGAAACCAAAATCAATTTATTTGCAAGGCTTTTGAAGGGCCCCCAATCCAGGTGAAAGATTACCTGCAGGAATTTGTGCCCATTCAGTCAAAAGTGAGGTCAGACACAGATGTTGGACAAGAGGGCCTGGCTCACAATCTCCATTCTAGCTCATCCCAAAGGTGTTCAGTGGGGTTGAGGTCAGAGTTTTGTGCAGGCTACTGGAGTTCCTCCACTCATCACAACATGCCTTTATGGACCTTACTTTGTGCACTGGAAAGGGTCGCCAAACTGCTGCTGCAAAGCTGGGAGCATATAACTGTGTAAAATGTCTTT